GCTGTTTCTTCTTCTGTGGATGCCCGCAATGAGTCTTTCTCATCTGCTGGATCCTCTGTTGTTCGAGCTGCGCTGAGTCGCAATGTTCGTTCCGCCCCTGCCCGCCCCGATGCCCCTCCATCCCGCCAGGTCTCTGTTTCTTCATCTATCGATGCTCGCAATGAGTCTTTCTCATCTGCTGGATCTTCCATTATTCGTGCTGCGATTAGTCGCGATGCGCGTCCCGCTGTCCCTTCCCGTCCTTCCCTTGCCCAACGCGCTGCTGCTTCTCGTGTTGCTTCCAGCAACACACGCCATAACGAGTCATTCTCCTCTGTTGGATCTTCTGTGGTTCGCACTGCGCTTCGCCGCCCTGCCAATTCCACTGATCTCGCCCGTCCTGCCATCCCTGCTCGCTCCGTTGGATCGACCCGTCCTTCCCTTGCTCAACGCGCTGGTTGTCGTCTTGCTTCTCGCAGCAATGCATCATCATCCTCTTCTTCTTCCTCTTCATCTTCTTTGTCTGCTTCGACCTCCACTTCTACTTCTGCTCGATCCGTTGGATCGACTCGTCCTTCCCTTGCTCAACGTGCTGGTTGTCGTCTTGCTTCTCGCAGCAATGCATCATCCTCCTCCTCTTCTTCCTCTTCATCTTCTTTGTCCAGTTCCACTTCTACTTCTTCTTCTGCTCGCTCCAGTTGCGCCACGTCCTTGCGTTCAACGGTTTCAAATCGTTCCAACACATCGACACCATCGGCCCCCGTGTTGAAGAGTGCCATGAAAAAGCCCGGTCGCAGCAAGGTTGAGAAACGAGTTCAGTTCACTGGTGGGAGTATCAAGGTGGTCGACCGATGGATCGTTCCCGGTGTCGACACCTATCGCGATCATACCCCGTCCCTGCTCGGCAAACTTAACGGATGGAGAGTTGCCCCTTTAGCAACCGCAGACAAGGATGGTGAGACCGAAAAGTATACAGAATACTGGTGCAACTCGCTTACGCAATTGCGTTCTCATTCTGGTGCCCCATGTGAACGTAAGTGCGCATTCTCCCAGCTAGGCCGAGTCCAAATTGAACTTGACCGTGCAAACGGTATTTCTGAGGACAACCCAGCTGGTATTCATCAAAAATACGTGTACAATCTCTGGAATCGGCGACGAGAGAAATTGAGATCGCGCGGAGACTGGGTTCTGTGAACCTCTGTTGAAGTCGATTTCCCTTCTGGTTTGTGGGAACGTTTGCGGCTCTTGTCTTTCAGCCTAGCTACACCGTTTAAACACTCTCTGGTATTGATTTTCAGCATTCGGCGTTCGGGGGTGACGGGCACATTCATCCGAAAGTATTTTTGTTTGAGGTAAGTATTCCCTGGCCATGCTATTTCAGAGCGCCAACTAATTGTTTCTTCTTTTCAACCGCGTGCACATTCTCTCTACCATTCAATAAATAATAATGTTTTTTATTATATATTGAATGGTAGAGAGAATGTGCACGCGGCACCAGCAATGTGCCCAAATTATC